TTAGTTTGAAATTGCCTGCGTAAATGTTTGGGTAATTAGAACATTTTAACAAGCCCCACTGGCTCCATATACCGTTTGCTCTGACTAGTAAACTTTTACATGTTTTTAAAGAAAACAAATGTGTGGGAAAAAATGTTGTTTGTTTTTTGCCAAACCAAAGTATTAATCTGCCCTGCTAGGGAAGTTTCTTGGCCACACCACTGACTGCAATTTCCAAAGTGTCATCTGTATTTTTCAGTCCTTCCATGTATAAAGAATCCAACAGCAGTTCTCTTCAAGGTTGAGTAAATTTGAATGTTTAGGGGGCTGAAGCCACAAGATTTGGCAAACCATTCACTTGTCATGTTAATAAAAAAGGAATTGTTTCTGCCTCTTTAAGCTAGTAGCTAAATGAAGGGCTTGGATCAACTGGATTTTAATCATAAAAGTCCAGATTCTTCTTCCTTGCAAGTGAATAACTTTGTAGTGTTCAGGGTTTTCATCTGATTTCATTTTATTTAGAAGAAGAACTGAGCTTCTTCTCTGTTACCAACCCTTGAATTTGCTGACTTGTTATGCTCTTCAAACCTAATCGGTTTTCTTGATCTTAAAATGAAAATCGAGCCTTTCTGCACTTTTTATTTCCCATAAGCAACTGAATTGAAAAGTGGGGTGGTTTGGGGTTTTTTTTTCAACTCCTTAAGTTGTTTTTTATAGATGGCATGTTAGCTTTGAGGGCTGCTCATGACTGGTAAAAGCTGATACCTTGTAAAATCCATAGCTTTTAATGCATTTTGTTTCTCACTTCAAACACAGTACTGAAAGAAGAAATAATAGAATATTTCATGGTCGTGCTGTTGCAACAGTTCAGATTCTTTTTACGTGGCAGTGCTGATTTTGTGGCTCCAAATGCTTGGGCTTAAAATTTGATTTCCTAAATTCCTTAGTCTGAAAATGTTGAAACTTAGAACAGGCTGTAATACACCCTGAAGAACTGTCTTGCTTACATGATTACTTTTCCTCTACCATGGAGATTACAAGAAACTAGATCAGATAAATGATTACATTATCTCTGGAATGCAAAAACACTGGGTAGATAACATTTATTCCTGAAAACAGCTTTTCCCCACTCTTTTTCTCATGATCTGTGTTAATGTTTAGAAAGTGTCACCCTTGACCAAACCCTGATTAATGTTGGGTTTCAATGTGGAAATCTGGTGTAACCCACCATGAATATTAGTGTATTTTAGCAAAATATCTTACTGTTATTAATTGCCCTCATTCTCTGTATCTGTGTGAAGAAATAACTTTTCTCCTTGCTTTCATCTCTTGAGGTGTTGGGGAAATTGAGACACTCAGAAGGGGCCAAGGTTCATTCAGAAATAAAGAAAGTAAAAAGTGAAATAATCGCATCTCTGGTTCCTAAAAGTCAGTTTAGTTCACATGGGATGACTTTGGTCACAAATAGATTCTGGGTAACCACATATTTGTTGATTAGGTGAAGAAATTCTTCCCAGAGCAGCTGTGGCTGCCCCTGGATCCCTGGCAGTGCCCAAGGCCAGGTTAGACACTGGGGACAGTGGGAGGTGTCCCTGCCGTGGCAGGGGTGGAACAAGGTGATTTTCCAAAGTCCCTTCCAAGTTCCCTTCAAGATTCCCATCAGATTTTCAGTGCAAGCCTGGAGCTGGATGATGCTTTGCCTGCCAAGTTGTTCCATTGAAATAAAGAGGAATATTGAAATAGGAAAGGCTGAAAATGAGCAAATGTATCAGAGGGTGAATACATCAAAAATGACCTGTGTGGGACTCGTTCAGTGAGCCAGGCAGAGCTGCCTCGTGCCTGACAGGTCTGAATTTGACACAGTCCTTTGTAAACAATAAATCAATGCAGGTTGTTTCTGTGAGTGCATAAAAGGTGTGAGAACTGTAATTTATTTTATAATAAATACTTGTGCTGAGCAAACAGTGAATGCAGCTATTAGAGACTTTCTCAAATAAGTGATTTTAGGCTGCTGAGTGCCAGCTACTGATGTGGTAGTCGAGCTTTTAAAATGAAAAGCCTGAATTCCTTTTGAAGATTCTCCTGAACGCTGTTGACACTTGTGCTAGGAAAGAATACAGAGTAATTTAATTCATTACTTTACTTAAAGATAACGTTTATGGTTGCAGCATTACCCTCCATTGGTGTGCAGACTGCTAGGCTGGAGGTGTTTACTTGTATTTTTTTGGAGATGTTACATCCTTTTATTAGGTGTGCTGGAAAGCTTGGGAGAAAAAAACGTAGGAGGGAAAGGGGAGTTCAGGATCAGTCAGCTGGTGTGTCTGGATACAAGGACAAAGGGACAATTTTGCCTTTGGCTACAGTTTGACACTTTACTGGATTCAGTCAGAATTATCTGTGCACGCTGAAGGGCACAAATGTCATTTTTATGGCATTCTATATCCTCAGTTGCTTTTTTTTTGTAATTGGCTGTGTATCCCAGTGCTGTAATAGAGCTCTTAAATCCTGACCCCGGCCAAAATGGGACACAAATACCAGTATTAATATTTCTCTCCCATTTTAAATGCAGGGTTGAGTCTTTTTACCTTGTTTTTCCAGCACCATCTTGTGTTTCCCTGGCACCCACCCACCTTTCCTCTGGCTTGGGGTGCTCCTCTGCTTTACTGCTCTTGGTCCCCTCTCCCCTTGGTCCATTGGCCTCAGATATCCCTCTGTTCCTCCCTTTGCTCCTTTGTCTTCTCATTTCCTGATCTTTGGCTCTCCTTGCCTTGCCCCTTTTAAGGTGGCTGAAGATCCTTGGATGAGTCCAGATTCCCTGACACTTCCACCCCTTCCCACTCATCTTTTCTCCATCAGAGTCATGTTCCTTTCTGCCAGAAAAAAGAGAATTTCCCTGGCTGAGCTGAAACCCCACCTTCTGCTCCCAAAGCCAGGCACTCCTCTCCCTATCCCAGGGGTTTTTGCTTCCCAGTCTTTCACTCCTCTCAGGTGCTGTGGTGTTCCAGACCTTTGGCTGATACCTGGCACCCCCATTTTGGGTGGAAATGCAGGGATTTTATTGTTCTCCCCCCACTCCAGAGGAGAGGAAGCTGGGACATTCCCAGCTCTGCTCTGGGAGGCATGTGACATAACCCAGACATCATTTACTGGCTCCATATAACCTGAGGCATTCACACATAAATTGAGCCCGAATGCAGAAGCTTATATAAAGAGGATCCTTAAACTATCCTGGCTAAAAATATTTGTGAAATGCTGGGAAGCATCTTTTTAGTGTCTTGGGATGCTCTCTTCTCTCTGATCTCTGTTACAGATATACAGTGGGGTCACTTCCATGGGCTTTGGGACATCTTTTTCATGTGAAATACTGTCATTTCCATAAGTGGGTTAATAAGTTTTTTAGGCCTGGAGTCTAAAACAAAAGATGTTTCCCAACTGCAGGGGCTAAAGAGATGGAAAGTGTTATTGCAGGCTGATGTTAATGTCAGTCTCGTGGCTGCTCCCTTGAATCCTTTTTTGCCCAGGCAGTGGTTGTTCAGTTCAGTAAGTAATGACCATTATCTATTATTAATTCAAAACATGGTGTGCAGGATTTCTGCCCAGTGTAAGAGCACATTAGCTTCTCCTGCACAAGAAAACACATGTTAATCTGTTTTCCATTATTGTCCAAAAGATTTTTTCAGAAGGCAGTTCATGTTGCCCCAACAACATTAAAGCCTGTAATTAAAAATAATTTTCCATTAATTTATATACATGCACATTTACTTATGATCTTTTGCTGCATTTCCCTAAGTGTACACCCAAAAGCCTAAAATGCTGTTGAGGAATAAGTCAATATTCACTGTAATGATCCAATGTGGAGTGTGCCAGAGCCCTGATGTACTTCAATTAACCATCTTTCCTAACAAACACCTGCACAGGGAAATGGATCTTCTGTAGGAATCAGCAGAAAAACAAACCCTGACTTTTCTGCATGGGCAGAAGAAGGGAATTCCAGTATTTCACAGCTTTTACTGATAATGATCTGCTACAGATTAAAAACAAAAACCAGACATTATGGTGTTGGCAGATTGCAAAAGGACTTGCTGGTAAAGCTGCTGTTCAGAGGAGATGAGGACAGTGTTTATTGCTTCCATATGGTCCAGGCATACAAGACAGGCAAAATGTCTGGGGAGAATAATATGTCTTATTATATTGATACAGAACATTCTTTAGAGCTGTCAGCTCTTTTTCCTGGTACCTTTCCCAGGTGAGAGCCTGAGTGGGAAATATTTGCCCATGATTGAGCATGAAGATAAGAAAAGATTGCTTAAGGATTGGCTCCATTTGTGTGAGTGAAGTATTAGAAATGCTGATTTTTAAGGGGTCATGTCTGGGAGCTGCTTCCTAACACAGAGATCTGAAGAATCTCTTTTTTCCTTGACTATTTGTATAGTTTTCAACCCTTTGACTTTCCAATTCAGCTTTGCAAAGTGCATTAGGAGTCTAAATTTAGAATTTGATAAATTTGTGTCAAAAAACCCCTCCTTTCCACGTAATGTAAAATTGAATTTCTTGGTCTCTTTGACCTCTTGATTTTTTTTTTTTTTTTTTAGCCAAATTAAGAATCAAACTTCTGGGCACATTGAAACAGAAGAGTAACTGGTTGCTTTTGTATATTTGGGGAGTTGACTGAAAAACTGCAGTCTTTGACTTCTCCATAATTATCACTTGAGAAGCACCTTTACATGTTGAAAAGATGACACTGCCTGAAATTTTAGGGAGTAAGACCTTCAAAGATCCAATGAATATGCTCAGATATCAATTTGCCTATTGCATTGCAAAAAGGGGAGCAGGCAAAGGAATTCGAGATTTGCAGATTGGTCCAGAAAACTCCAGAGGATCTCAGCAGTCAGGAGATGAGCTGCTCAGTCCTGTTGTGTCCTTTTACAAATAAATATTGACTGTTGGTGGTGTTTGTGTGCCTGTTGCTGTGCCTGAGCTCTCTGTCTCATAACAAAACTTCTGCTCTCTTGTTCTCCCAGGGCTGATGAAATCGAGATGATCATGACAGACCTTGAAAGAGCAAATCAGGTAGGATTTTAAATGAGTTCCCCATAAAATTCTAAGTGTGACTTTGATTATTCTTTTTTAATTCTCTTTTGGATTTCATGACAGTTCTTTTATATGCACTTCACAGTCATAACTGCGTGGAGTAAGAAAATATGCAAATTTGGAGCAAAATACAGCTCTTTAGGGATGCTCTGTAAGGATTGTGTGCACAGTAGAGCAGTGCTTGCCATATATTTACCTTCTAATAATTTAAACTTGCATTTCCCACTGTAGTTATTCTTGGCTTTATGTTTCTAAATCTGTCATGTTGGCCCCTACTCAGACATGCAGGTGAATGGTTTGCCCAAATTAAAGGGCCTCTGCTCCGTGGCTGTGGCAGGGCTGCAGGTTTTGGGGACTTCTCCAGACTTTTTCTCCCCTTCCTTTTCTGCTAGGTTTTATTGGCATATTAATTTTTAGCAAGGATTGGCTCAGACTGTTCTTTCTGTGCAAAGAAATAGCTGTTTGTTCCTGCAGATGTTAATTTGGGCTGTGAAATGTCTCTCTGGCCATCCCTCACAGTGCACACACTCCTGACACAAGTGACAGAAATACTGAGTGTTAACAAAGCCAAACCCATCCACAGCCATGCACAGAACCCTCCTGAGGGAGTGGGGTGGTGGCCAGGCAGGATTCCATGGCAATGGAAACTCCACGAGCCACTGGGTGCTGGTTTCACAGGGGGAAACCTCAGCCAGGCATTTGCTTATCAGTGATCTTCATTAATCCCTCTGCCAGGTACAAGCAGAGATTGCAATCTGAAATCTCCCAGGCTATGGATTTATAATCCAGCTGAAGTTTACCTAAGAGCAGCTCCTTTCCAGGAGGAATAGTAGCAGCTCCTTCCCCTCCCTGGGTCCTGCTGTCAGCAGTGTTTGTGTGAGCCAGACCAGGTCACTGATCCTGTTGAAAATGTACCCCCTGCTCCAGCTGCTGTTTTGTTTTGGCTTTTCCCTTTTGCCAGATCAGCTTTCAGCCCCCACACTCCCCTGCTGCAGCTGTCAAGTCTACAGCAAGTGCTGCTGGCCTTTACATTAGTTCTTGGAAAATTGGGAAAATACAAATCACAGAATCATTTCCACTGGAAAAGCCCTTCAGGATCATCCAGTCCAACCATCACCCAGCACTGCCAAGGCCACCACTAACCCATGTCCCCAAGTGCCACATCCACAGGGCTTTGAAATCTCTGAAGGGATGGGGACTCCACCCCTGCCCGGGGCAGCTGTGGCAGGGCTGGACAATCCTTTCCATGAAGAGATTTTCCCTGATACCCAACCTAAACTTCCCTTGGAGCAACCTGAGGCTGTTTCCTGTCACCTGTTACCTGGGAGCAGAGCCCAACCCTCACCTAAAGCCTCCTTCCAGGGAGTTGTAGGGAGAGAGAAGGTCCCCCCTGAGCCTCTTTGTCCCCAGGTTGAGCCTTCCCAGCTCCCTCAGCCACTCCTGGTGCCCCAGACCCTTCCCCAGCTCTGTTCCGTTCTCTGGACACACTCCAGCATCTTAATGTCTTAAGGAAGCCAAAATCCTATTTGTAAGTCATGGAGTTGATTATTTAGTCAGTAAAAGCAAACTGGTGTTTGTACAGTGGGTTTTTAGTTCTGTCAAAGAACTTTTGTAGACAGCATCAAATATTTATGAAAGTGCTAGTAATTATTTGAAAATATGTAGACTTTTTAGAAATGATGTAGGTGTTAAAAATGTTTTGGTAGAATTATTTTGTGATTTTTGCAAAGGCAGTACATTTTGCTGTGATTTACCCAGTAGTTGGTTTTTATCCCTCAGTCTAAAGGGGGCTGTAGTTAAAGAACAGGAATTTCTGAATTCCTCATTGCCTCCTAAAATGGATTATACCTATTTATCTAGAAATGCTGTTTTTCTATCTAACTGGTACAAAGCTTCAATGTGAGTTGGGTTTGGTTTTGGGTTTTTATACTGTATTGTGGTGCTTTTCTTGTAATTAGGTAAATTTTATAACAGCTTGTGTGCATAACCCTTAGTTTGATTGTAATTCTGCAAATGCTGACTGTACATTCAACCAGCATGCTGTTCATCTGAGCTGTTGGAAAGCCAGAGGAGGGGGCTCTGTCTCCCCTTTCCCCATCTCCCTCTCCTCTTCCTCCCTCTCTTGGCTGCTGCAGTCCCATCCCCTCCCAAACAGCAGCTCTGGCACATGGGGGACCCTTCATGAGCTCAGGAAATGCAGGAAAACCTGGATTTGGGATGAAGGGAGCACGTTTGTTCTCTGTGGGTTTAGCAGCTTGGGGCAGCTCAACAAAACACGGGGGAAGCCACAGCACCAAAATTACAGAATCACAGAATGGTTTGGGTTGGAAGGGACCTTGAAGATCACCCAGTTCCAAACCCCCTGCCATGGGCAGGGTCACTTTCCACTGTCCCAGGTGGCTCCAAGTCCTGTCCAACCTGGCCTTGGACACTGCCAGGGATCCAGGGGCAGCCACAGCTGCTCTGGGCACCCTGTGCCAGGGCCTGCCCACCCTCACAGGGAACAATTCCTGCCCAATACCCCATCCAGCCCTGCCCTCTGGCAGTGGAAGCCATTCCCTGTGTCCTGTCCCTCCATCCTTTGTCCCCAGTTCCTCTCCAGCTCTCCTGGAGCCCCTTTAGGCCCTGGATGGGGCTCTGAGCTCTCCCTGGATCCTTCTCTTCTCCAGGTGAGCACCCCCAGCTCTCCCAGGTGGCTCCAGCCCTGGAGCAGCTCCGTGGCCTCCTCTGGAATTGCTCCAGCAGTTCTGTGTCTCTCTTGTGCTGGGACACAGAGGGACACAGAGGGACTCTGGCCTTGGAGGAGCTGGAGAAGAGAGGGGCAGGTTCACCTGGAGAGGGGCAGGAGCTGCTGCAATGGCTCAGCTCATTTGCTGAAGCATGCCCATAGAGTCTTTGCCTTGTGTGATGCTTTACCTTGATCAAACACTTTGATGAATTATATCTAATCTTTGTAGCAGCAATTCCTGTGTTTTAGCTCTTCATAGTTGAAAAAAAAAAATACTGAAAGAAATTAAATCTATTGCACAGGACAGAAAGTGAGTTTGCATCAGGCTGAAGTGTTAGAATTGCAGAAACAAGTACTTAACCTAATTATGTATTTAATAGTTAAATTAACATTTCCTTTTACCATTTCAGTAAGTGCTCATTCCCCATTATTAAGGCTACCTTTAAAGAGTAGTGCTCAGCATGACTCCTGCTTTGCTCAGGGACTGCCTTGCTGATGTGGATGTGATGTTTTGCTGCTCTGGAATTAGCCCTGACCCAAACGACTGGGATTCAGAGCACACATTTAAATGTTTCCGCTAAAAATATGGGGGGGAAAAATGGTGTAAATTTTTCTATATCTGACATTTCTTGAAAATGCCTTTCCCAGTTACTGCCCTTTTGAACAGAAGTTCTCTTGCTGTTGTGAGGACTCCTCTCTGGCTCCTGAGAGGTGGGGAGAGCCTTTCCCTCTCCAGTCCTGCAGGAACAGGGGGTGGATGTGGCCCTGACCTTGGTCCAAGTGTCCATAAAAATGATCAAATCCACAGGGCTAGAGCTGATGTTGTGCTCCCACCCCCGTGTCCCGTGGGGTGAAGCTGGGACCAGTCTTATCTTCAGCTCCATCACTTCTCTTCTCCCAGTGTTTTTTCTCACTTGTATCCTCAAGTTTTTTCATGCAGGAGCTTTCTGGGCTACTTTGTGTGATACCAACCCCAGAACAAATTACTGGCTCATCAGAATAATTGCCTTTAAATGCCAATGAGCTTGGCAATTTTCTGCTCAGAGAGAGGGAGGGGTAGTGACCACAAAGCTCCCTCCCTCTCCATTGTGTCATTAACACAAGGTGTAAACTGAATTTTCCCACAAAGCATAATAGTGGGAGAAATGAATCCCTCTCTGGGGCAGAGGTGGGTGCTGGAGATGAGGGGTGGTGACAGTCCCTTCTTCCTCAGCTGCTCAGCCAGGTGCTCAGTGCCATTAATGCACGATCTTGAGTGGGGTTTTAGGCAGGGCTGGTCCATTCTGGCTGGCAGAGATCAGAGTACACCAAGTTACACCCACTGTGGTGTGACATGGGTGTGACCCTTTCCTTGGAAAGCCCTGAGAGGTTTTTCTATATAAAAAAGAGAAATAAATAATAATAATAAATAGATTTTTATTCACTATAAATAGTGAATAAAAATGTTTGGTCCAGCTGCAGCTGCCTCAAGAGGAGCCATTAGCTCCTGCCATGGGGCTTTAGAAGGGGTGTAAGGTGTGAAGCCAAAACCCCCCGTTGGTTTCAGGGTAAAATTTGCAATTCCATCATCTCCCAGACAGCAGGGGAGTGTGGCTGCAGAATCCCTGCCCCTGCAGAATCCCTGCCCAGCCTCCCCTGGTCCCCAAGGCTGTGGGACTCTGTGCTGAGGGCACAATAGAGCCAAGTACAATGGGAAGGGCTCCTTTCACTTTATTAACCCAGCAGCTCGATGACAAAACTTGATAACACAACCCACGAGTTCCCCCTGCATTTCCATGAAGATTTAATAATGCTGTAGTTTGGTGAAGGGACTCGTTTTATTAAGATTTCATTTTGCACAATAAATCACTGCATTTTTTCTGATATGCTACGAAGTATAAGAATAAATAATTAAAACTAAACTACCCGTACTTGTCAAAATAAATGATTTATCATAGTTTGGGATACAGCATCTTTGAATTTTTTATTGTTTGATTCCCAGAATATTCTAATTTCCAATCAGGGAAGTTAATGAAGCTCCAGTATACATTTCTGCATTCACAGCAGTTACAGTTGTGTGACTGTTTATTTTAGACAAATATTTATGGTTAGCACTTTGCTGTACCTTTTCAAGTTTACACCTTTCCAGTGTTTATGGCAGCAAAGTCACGAGTCTTTTGGGATGACAAATTTATTCAAATGAATTATTGTTCTGTTTCTGTACTTCATCCAGGAACCTGGAATCATCCAGTTGTGCCTAAGAAAAACAGAG